ACATGCATATAAGCGTATGCACAATCAAGAAAACTCAAGCAGTGACAATAATTTTGGCGTCAGCAAACCCAGCTAGGCCTGTGAATGTTTGGAAGTGTTATAAAAGAAAACTACGACTGGTTTTACTACTTTCGGTTAACGGTTGCCAGACAACAAGATTAACCGCATCTTCCATCTACAGGAGGTTCGTGGTCTGTGGTTAAGCCAGTCAAAAGTATGTAGTCTCCGGGTGAAACAGTCTTTGTCTTCTCTCTCCAGACTCCTGCTAGTGTCGGTGAGCTTACCAGCATGTATGTATATGCGTCTGACGGTGTGGTACCGCAAATGCGTCTCTGTTGACGTGTATATGCGCTTCAGGCCTCGGTGGCTAGGGTTCATACAATATGCAGTTGATCAAATAAAAAAGCGAAAAGGGCTGCTCGAAACCGTAAAGTCTGATGGTGGTCTTTGGGGCTAAAAAGGGTTGAATTGATTGCTTTAGCGGAATCAATTGGAGATCACGATTTACCGCCCCCATCGATTGTCACCAAGACGACTAGCTCGGGTCATCTCTACTTGATTAGAGTCCAGGCCTTCATCGAGGGTAGCCGGCCCGTCCTGTACCCGCACGAAATACCCACTGATCGAGGTTGTTCTCGACGCGGTCACACTCTACATGTTTGTCTGTCTGCAAGCTCATTTTCCGCCTCTCCGCATGTGTTGCGTGTATTTTGTCGTTGGAAGGGCAGCCAGCCGAGGATAACATCCTTCGAAGCGCCCCTTCAGGAGGTGCCAAGAGTAGATAGGATCTCGGACGGACACCCTTCATGTGGAAATTTTGCGAGGATGAATTGACCTAGAAGACCTTCACAACAGCCCAACCGACTTAAGTAGATTGGGTAGACTTCGAAATTATCAGTCGTTTTTTACTCATCGCTATACTTTCTTTAGGTGATGGTTTGTATCCAGTCCATCATGGGAAATACATCCCCTTTAATGACTATAGTTTCTATAAAATATCTCATGACAATTTCAATTCGTACTTATTAAGTATTGAGTAATATCGTTTAGTTGTACGGAAGATACTAGCATGCATTGTCGACACTATTCTCAATGCCATTGTCGTGTAGCAGTAGTCTGGCCAATTGACACGCAAGTTCCGGTCTCGAGTCCCGTTGGGGGGTTGGGGTGAGACAATGAAGCGAAGATGAGCCTAACGTCCAAGCCAGGATGAGAAAGAAGCCTCTGTAGAGGCAATGCCAAGTAGAATTCACTGAAATCGGGAGGCCTTCTACTTATTTCAGTGTGGAAACCTTTCAACTAGCAAGCCTTACTTTTCAGTAGGCGACCAGAGAATTCAAACTGGTGGCGATAGGGAAGGAGAGTGAGGGAGAAGATAGTGAGCAATCGCCTGATTCCTATTTGCCGATTAGTTGCCTAAAATCGGGCCCAAAAGCACTATCAAACCTAGAACCTTCAGCTCATTAGCTTCAATTCATGGTGATTATCATCATACCCTTATTATTATTATTATTATTATTAGTAGTAGTAGTAGTAGTAGTAGTAATAATAATAATAATAATAATAATAATAATAATAATAATAATAAT